AAAATATATCCGTGCCGTGTCCCATATCATTATTATTTTAATTCGTGTGTATATCATTTCTAACCATATCTGTTTAAATTATTATCAAACTTTTCAAAGCAACACCATGTCATGCTAGAACATTGGAAAAGTTGGCTTCCTATTTTTTGTTTTATCCTCAGTGTTGTTGTTCTTTTCATGATATAGTTATTCTCTTGTATTTAGTAGTTTTATATAAATTAGCATGTGTTTGTTGTAGACATCCATATATGCTGTTTTTTGCTGAAAAAAAAGGATGGAATAAATTTATTATGATAAGACTATCTTACCAATCTCCATGTTCAATGAGTGTCTTGAACTGTTCATCGTCAATTACACAAGTGGCCAGCTCAGCTGCTGGATTGTCCTTTGAGAAACCACCCTCACATTTATAGACTTTAAATGATCCTTCGTCTCTAATTAGGCCACCTGACAAAAATGATTTAATGCTTTTCATTATGACTTTCGATGTAACTTAACATGCAGCAATAAAAATCGTATTATAACTAAAGCATTTGTTGGAAAGAACGTATCTCGTTGATACAATGTTAGCATTTTTGTATTCGCTGCGTTAGCAGTGAATACAGTTCTATCACAATTTGCGGGATTACAATAGAAGAATGGCTACCGAACAACGCAACGAAAGTAGTTCTACACAGATTTTCTTGTCACACACAAGTGATAAGATTTTTAATTGTCAGTAGTTCATTTTTGATTGTGTTATTTCTATCGTATATTATTTGCATGTTTTCAGGATATAATCAGTAAAAAACATCATTAGTATTCATTCGCGTTAACTTTGCGTAAGGAAGTAGTTCGTACCAAAACAAAGTTTTCGATGCTATATTTGTATGTGAAAGCTGATCTCATCATTTTCTAAAAGTAGGTACAGAAAACTTACCAATAATATTTGAACTTATTGTAATCTGTTTTGGAATTCTTATTTGGATTTCATGATGTGTAACAGTGTTGATAATTCAGGTGTCTTGATATATTTTTTTTGTTGTTTGAGTTGTTTCCCTTGTTTTCCCCGCAATATCACTAGTTTTGTCTATGTTTAAGCGGCTTTGTTTGTAAAAAGTTCGAAGTGTTCTTAATTTATTGGAAATATGGATTATTGATAGTTGGTCAGTATTATTTTGAGTTGCATTTGGTTTAAATTAGTGTTTTATAGAGTGTATGTCATAGATAATTTTTTAATTAAGTAACGAGTGTGGTCTGATTTGAAATGTCATCAGTTTTCATGATTTGGAACCTTTGAGAATTGTTTTCAGAAAAATCCGTTAATCTAGCTCTCTGTTTACTTAATCTCACAATTTATTCATATCACTTTGCACATTGTGTTTATTACATTTTGCAGAAGTTACAGCAGAGAGAGATTAAGTTTGACAGTATGCGTGTTTGAAGAAGATAATGCTTTTATTGGTACATTCAATTCCACGAACTGGTGAGTTTAGAATTTATTTATGATTATGATGTATTTTATAATAACTTCATCAAATGAACTTATGATTGTAGCGGCCAATAGAAAGCATATAGCTATATTATAAGTTAATATACAGTACCTACAGGTTAAGTAAGCTGTTCAATGTGTTGTAAATATTTAATACACCGAGGAACACTTTCAGAACTAGCAGACAAGAGGCTTTTCTTATCAGTAGTTTTAGGAATAAAGATAACCGGTTGTTTTCTCACTGTATAAATTGTATGTAAAATGGTCTGACATGTGGTAGGGTTAACTGTTCATTTGAATATTTGTGGAGTCAAAAGATGTGTTGAAGAATATACTGTGTTGAAGCTAAGATCCAACGTTTGCTATTGGTGTAATACATTTTAAAAGCGGACATTTAATCAGAACAAACGAGCGGTTTTGTTTGAGCATAAGAGATATCAATTTTACTCAAAGATAAGGGAAGCAACTTGTATTTTTTCACTTGATATATCTCGGTTATTTACTTAGATCATATAGAAAGTGTGAATGGGTTTATTGTAATTGACCATAAATTTGGAGGTTTTTATTTAAATGATAATTATGCATTTCAGACAAAGGAAATTGATTTAATTCTATTTTTATGTTAATGTAATTTTTTTAATTTCAGAGTGTTGATTTCCTCGATTTCATTGACTTGATGATTCATTCTCTGATTTATAATTGTTGATTGAATGTTCTAATGATCAATCAACTTATTGATTTACTGATTGATTGGACATGTAATGGAGCTTAATATAGATGTAGAAGTAACTTAGACGTCATACAGTTAAATTCAGTATTATTGGGGTTGTTCTAGTGCAAGTTATCATGTGTTTCGGGATTTTCCAAGATTTGATGCATCCTGGGTAATAGTAGCCAAAATACCGCCATATTCAATTCGAAGAGGAACATTGACAAAAAAAGACGAAGCATTTTCTACTTACATAAGAAGCAATATTTATTTATGTTAAAACGTACCATACACACTTTTCCACACAGATATTTCTCAAAAAAAAAATGTCGGCAATGTAAACAGTAGTTCATGGATATAGCCGAAGTTTAACGAGAGTGCGAGAATCGGGGGCTATTGGGAAAACACGATTATCACCTAAGCGCACTGTGGATCTGAATCTGACTATCAACTATTTTCTGAGCTTCCTATCCATTGTATATAAATATCTGTGGACATGTAAGACGAATATATGTGAACTGTAAGATGTTGAAATGTGCCAAGTTGTTTGTTTAGATGAGAAATACACAATTTTTGGAGAAACTTTTTGTTTGAATGATAAAGGTATAAACACTTTTTGTAAATGAACATCAGGCCACCATTTTCATAGTAATGGCAGGGCTTCCATTAATGGAAGTTTGTGAGTCATTTCACTCCTTGAATTTGGCTTGTGACTTCCAAAATGTAATGCTTTTTTCTTCTTTACCAATATTTTGTTACTTCCAATGTCAAGACATTTTGCAGTCTTTTGACTTCCAAATTTTGGATCTTAATGGAAGCCCTGAATGCCAGTGGAACTACATGTTTCACCTAAATTATATTGGAAATATGTGAAAAACTTCCTTTTAAAAAAGTTTCTAGCTGAAGTTAAGCAGAGAAATGCATTGGATACCTCAGAATATTGCTATGTTGTTAAAAAAATTCTAAGCCTTATGGTCACATATTCATGGTAAAATTCGAAGAAAGGAAAAAAGATTGTCAGGTGTATAGATTTCCAGTCTGCTTATCATTTACATACAATCTGGAAAACTTCAGTAGTGTCACTGGGGTCAAAATTAATCCTGTCTAATGGTAATGTTGTAAAAAGTTTTTTTTGTTTAAAACATAAAGTTTAATGCATATATATGTATTTATAATAGAAATTAGATATATGTATGGATATTTTGTGTAAACAAACATGTGAAAACCCTGGAACATCATTGCTAAAGCAATATTGTAAGGTACAATACCATACATTTAATAGGCAAGAAAGGTACGGTAAAATATCATTTACTATAGATTTAGGATGCAAGAAAAGATAAAATATCATTCCTCGCTTCTTAGTACAAAAAGTGCCATATCACTTTTATATTTATATTAATGTTTACTGCATAAAACACTTTCTTACTTTTCATTTTTAGCTAGACTATACAAAGTATATGGAGAGCCGTCCTACTTGCCCCGGCGTCCGCGTCCTTAGTCAGATTAAAGTTTTGGTTTTCCATATCATCAACCACATCTTATGTGACAAGGTTCATAATTCTAGCACCACTATTTTCAGATTTATCTCCCCTTGAACTTAGAATTTTACTGAAAAAATATTATTTTCTATCGTTACTTCCTTATTTCTTAAGGGATCAACTTCATACTTCAAATATATGTTCCTTATCATCAACCACATCTTATGTGACAAGGTTCATTACTCTAGCACCAATATTTTCAAATTTATCTCCTCTTGAAGATAGAATTTTCCTAAAAAAGTTATTTTTAGCTCGACTATTCGATAAGAAAAAGTAGAGCTGTTGTAGTTGCCAGTGCGTCAGTTTTGTTGTCGGCGTCTGTGTCAGCATAGGTGTAATAACTCGTGTTAAAGTTTTGTAATATCTCAAATATCAAAGTCTATTGATACATGTATATGGCTTTGAAACTTTGCACACTTGTTCACCATCATGACCCAACCTGTAAACAGGAGGAGATAACTGGATCAAGCATTTTGACAGAATTATGCCCCTTTTCTGACTTAGATTTTATGTTATTTAATTAAAGTTTGCATACCACCTCAGATATTTTCATAAACTATTGACATCTGGCTAGGAACAAGTTGAAATTTTATACTCTTCTTTGAGAGCATAATAGGACTCTCTTCAAGGCCTATAACAGTAACATGGATTTAATGGAAAATTTGGCCCTTTTGTTAATATTTAACATTAGCAAGGCTCTTTTTTCTATCAAGCACTTAGAATGGTAGAGCGTTGCTGTCCTACCGACAGCTATTATTTACTGTTACTTATTTATTTCTTAAGGATCAACTTCATATTTCAAATAATATGTTCCTTGTCATTAACCAAATGTTATGTGACAAGGTTGTTAACGCTAGCACCAATATTGCAAGAATTACCTCCCCATGAACTTAAATTTTTGTTACTTGAAAAATATTATTTTTTACTATGACTTTTTTAGTTTCAAAGGCATCTACCTCTTACTTCAAATACATATTCCTTATCATCAATTACATCTTATGTCACTAGGTTCATAATTTACTCTTAAAGCAATATTTTCAGGTTAATATCCCTTTGAACTTTTTTTTAAAGAAATATTATAAGTAATTTAATTTACTTTTTAGCTCACCTGAGCAATGCTCAGGGTGAGCTATTGTGATGGCCCTGTGTCCGTCGTGGGGGTCATAGGTTTTTCCTTATATGTATATAGTAAAATCTAGAAAAATCTTCTTCTCTGATTTGGCAAAGGCTACAGATTAGATATTTGGCATGAAACATTGTGTAGTAGACCTCTATCAAGATTGTTCAAATAATGGACGGGGGGTCATTGATTCTCATTACATACATATCTATAGTAAAAACTTGAAAAATATTCTGGTCTGAAAGTAAAATGGCCTAGAGCTTTGATATTTGGTCTATGGTATCACCTATAGGTCCAAAACCAAACTGTTCTAATTTTGTTCCTAGAATTAAAATCGGCCCCGCCCTGGGGGGTCATTGATTTTCCCTATATGTATATAGTGAAAACTTAAAAAATCTCCTTTTAAAGAACCCAAAAAATGAAAACATCTTCTAATGGTTGTCTAATTATGTATATAGTGAAAACTTAAAAAATCTCCTTTTAAAGAACCCAAAAAATGAAAACATCTTCTAATGGTTGTCTAATGGTTGTCTACCAAGTTTGTTCAAATAAAAGCCCTGTGGTCAAAATTGGCCCCGCCCCAGGGGGTCATTGATTTTCCCTATATGCATATAGTAAAAACTTAAAAAAAATTCTTTTAAAGAATGTAAAGAGCTAGAGCTAAGATATTTAGCATGAAATATGTTCTAATGGGTGTCTACCAAGTTCGTTCAAATGAGAGCCGAGGGGTCAAAATTGGCCCGCCCCGGGGGTCATTCATTTTCCTTATACATGTACATTGTATGCATATAACAAAAACTTAAAAGATCTTTTTTGATGAAAAAATCAAATAGCTAGAGTTTAGATACTAAGCATGAAACATCTTCTAGTGAGTGTATTCCAAGTTTGTTCCAATAAAAGCCCTGGGGTCAAAATTGCCCCGCCCCAGGGGTCATTCATTTTCCTTATATGTGTAAAGCAAAAACTTAAAAATCTTCTTTGAAAAAACCTGCATAGCTTGAGTTCTGATATTAAGCATGAAACATTGTCTAGTAAGTGTCTACAAAGATTGTTCAAATAAAAGCCCTGGGATCAAAACTGGTCCTGCCCCAGGTGTGTCATTGTTTTTAACTATATGTGTAAAGAAAAAAACTTGAAAAAATCTTCTTTTAAAAAACCCAACAAGCTAGACCTTAGATGTTTAGCATGAAACATCTTCTAATGGGTGTCAACCAAGTTTGTTCAAATAAAAGCCCTTGGGTTTAAACTGGCCCCGCTCCGGGGGTCTATATACAGGTGAGCGACTTTGGGCCATCATGGCCCTCTTGTTTATATTTCTTATCATTACACATATGTTGCGTGGCAAGCATGACTATTTCCAGAATTACCCCCTCCCCCCCCCCCCCCCTTGAACTTATTTATGGAATTTATGTAAACAAATGTTCATAGTTTCATAGTTTTGTCTTCCATACCAACTTATCTCAGCCTCTTGATATTTGGTAAACAGTATTGACGTGGTCCCATACCGTCGGATTTGATTTCAGGTCTGTCGCTCACCAAGCCCCGTTTACCGTTAAATTTTCAACATTAATGGTCAATGGTAGGAAATTTTTGTGACAGATTTTTTAGCAACTACTTATCACAGGCTCTTGATATTTGACAAACAGCATTGACACATGGTCTTATACTGTAGGATTCGATTTCAAGTCTTTCACTCATCCACTTCCTGTTAACTGACTTATTTAAATTTTCCACATTAATGGTCAGTGGTAAATATTTTTCAAAACATTACAGCATCATGATATTTGGTATAGAAATGCAACCCGACCTTTTCTGTCTTTGACCCATTTTTTTTTTTTAATTTTGAAATTATTCATTTATTATTGTTGAAATCTACTTATAATACCTTTAAAATACCATTTTCCCAGTACTTTTTATTTTCATGCTTAAGTTGTTCTTAATTAACATTCACAAAACAAACTTGTACATTCCTTTATTAGAAATTGTCTTTTTTATATAACCAGGCACAAGTGACAAGATAATATTTATTTATATGCTATTATCATTGTGGACACAAACTGTAAACAAAGGTATCATTTTTGATTCTAGTCAAAGTAAAAACAAACAGTGATTGCACTAGAGTTATATCAGAAAGTTTGTGGGAGCTTTACATGCTCATAACATTTCTATCTTTGTCAGCGAAATATTTGATTTCTGAGAACTATTTTGACTTCAATTTCCAAAGAAACATGACACTACACCCCAAATTTAAATGCATAATAACTATTACATTTGTTTGACTTAACTGTTTCTTATGGTCAATAGTGTTACATGTATATATTTTTTTATGTTCATTTTACATTTGCTTGTTTTTCTATCATTTCAATCCATTGTCTTAATCATTATATAATTTGATAATACCTTAATTATGTAGCATTGTTTTTAGATTTACATTGTATTTGCAATTTTGTGAACATTTATCAGTAAGTAATATTCTTAATAAAAGAAATTTCACAATTGATATGAAGTACCAAGCCATTTATAGAGTGTGTTTCCAATTTATGAAAATGTTTTTAACAAATGACTTAAAATTGAGCAATCACCATACTTTCAGGAAAAAAACTTGACCAGCTAGACCTTAGATGTTTAGCATGAAACATTTTCTAATGGGTGTCTACCAAGCTTGTTCAAATAAAAGCCCTCGGGTTTAAACTGGCCCCGCTACGGGGGCCTTTATACAGGTGAGCGACTTCAGGGCCATCATGGCCCTCTTGTTTATCAATATTGTAATTGGGTTTTAAAACTGTGTTTTCTTAAATATGGATATTATTGAATCATCCTTGACATCAGTCTTCTCATTTTTTTAGCTCACATTAGCAAAAGCTCACCTATTACAGACAGTCAAAGATTCCTAGTCTGTCCATCATCCATATTTCAATAATGTCATACTAAACTACTCAGTTTGAAAACGTCAAAAATTCTCATTTACTGTGTGCAAGAACACTTAAAATTAATTTGGTCTTTTGCATGATAAGGTCACAGTAGGTAATAAAAAAGATTAGATATTACAACCATCCTTTTCTCTTATTGTCCCATTTTGCTTGTTTTGCATTATTAAAGCCATTTCCTCATGCTCCCATTCCATTTGTAATGTGTCTTTGCAAAAAAGTAAATAACAGACTTTTAAAATTTATTTTTGACTGTTACAGGCTAATTAAAAATATAATACTCAAACTATTAAAAGTACTTTTTTGTATATTTTTAATCTCAGAAATTTTTAAAATTAAAGTATTTTACAAAAATACCTATATTTTCTTCTTAAATTTCATGAAATTAACATGTTCCAAGTTTCACTTTTCATCAAAACTGAAATGCTTTAGCTAGGTAATCTGTCTGTCATTACATTTGAAGCTTATGTAGCAATATAGTATTCTAGGTATTGTAACTGTATATATATTCATTATAACATAATTCTCTCATCATGTTAAGGATCTAGTCATGAATGTACTGCATGCATTCATATTTTGGATGTATATTTTATTGTACCACTTAGATAATATTATAAAGTTGTTCTCATTTAGTTTATTCTTATTTCTTTCCCTCTTTCAATGTAATATTCAACAGCCAGTGTTAAATAATGTCTCTATCAGATTAATAAACTGTAATTCAGTGGCCCATATATTCCTTTATTCGTTACAATTGCAACGTTTTTAGTAAGACACATATGTATTTATAATGCGCAGCGAATACATCAGTGCTTTCAGCGCTTTGATTAGTAAGAGGGATCAAATATTAAAGTTATAATCAATTAATGCAAATCGCCTTACCATCTCTGGGGACTTTGCTGACGTTGGCTTCTATGATGCTTTCTACTATTCCTATTTCCCCTTCAGACACATAGACTGGTCTCTTTGGCAAGTTTTCCGGCTGAGTGAAATATGTTATATACTCGAAATAGAGATTATTGAATCGCCTCTGGTTGCTGTAAAATTAAAACATATTTCCATAAACTTTTTTTTTCAAAATACAGTTGATATACTATGATTTATAAATTGAACTATAATTTCGTATCACACTATGTAAAATTATTTCAATTTCTAACAGGACTTGTGATAATATCACTTTACAAAAAGTAGACAATAACCAATGTAAATATGGCAATGAATATTGCTTACGGAGTAATATTTTATATGTATATTTTTAGTTATCAAGATATTTGACAGGCTTTATGGTCCTATATAAACAGTTGTTTGTATGTATAATATGAGATTATTTATTGCAAATAACTATTTATATACAGCAATTTAACCTCTAACTTCCTTTATTACAAAGCACAACTGAATTTATTACTAAATAGTAGGACAAGAAGTAGCTTTTTGTTTCTATACAGTTGAATTTTGCCATAATGCAGTAGTGTCTAGCGGATTTGGGAATCAATGTGATATTTCGACATGTCAAATGAAAGGCATGTGCAGATGTGTCTAATGGCCATATTTAATAACTCGTTTCGAATAAAAGTTTTCCTTCTTAATAAAAGTTTTGTTTTTACTTTATTATAACATTTCATAAATATCGCTGCAAAGCAAAGGTTAATCTTTCTAGAGATCATGACCCACATGCCAAATATCAAAACTTTAGACATTTAAGTTTTAGAAAAGAAAACTTCATGTAATTTAATATATAAGTTTATAAGTGACCCCTGGCCTGGTGCCAATTTTTACCTCAGGGCTATAATTTGAACAAAATTGGTAGAGGTCTATTAGACATTGTGTCATGCAAAAGCATCTATAGTATAATAGAACAAGATTAGTTTTTACTGTATGCAAACATGAAAATCAAAAACCCTCTTGGGCGGGGCCAATTTTGACCCCAAAGCTATAATTTGACTAATGTTAAATAGAGGTTTTGTAGATAATATTACGTGCTTATTATCTGAGCTTAGCTATTGTAGATTTGAACAAAAATATGTTTTTAAAATTCAAAATGTTTACTCTATAAATATAAGGAAAACATAACCCCGAGGGCGGGCCAATTTTGACCCAAGGGCTATAATTTGAACAATGTTGGTAGAGGTCCACAAGACAATTCTTATGCAAATTATCTATGCTCTACGCCTTGTGGGTCTTATTATTCCTTTTGGTTGCCATGTTGGTTTAAAGATTGTGACTCCCTATAAAACCCTTACATTAGAGATTTGAACAGCATCAGTATAAATACTACAAAACTTAATCTGCTATGCAAGTTTAAAGTTTTGATAAATTAATAAAAATCAACTGGAAAAAATAAAGGAATGAAATACATTTTTTCTTATAATTTATTTTCAGTCATATATCTAATTGATTCTACTACGCTATTGAACAAAACATAGATTTATTCTTGGCAGTATGGGTACACAGCTGCTTATGGCTACTGTTTTCTCCGGTAATTCCCCTGTCAACACCTATCTACATGACAAGTTTGTTGCTGTAATCCGCTTGAATGATGTTAGGCATGCCTCTTGATGTAACAAGGTGTTGTGTTAAATCTGTTATATCATTGGCTTTTTGTATAAAAGTAAGGTGGTGAAAATACAGTTTAGAGTGGTTTAATGTTGCTTTCTGTACATTTATTTTGTGAAGAACTAATATCTTATTTGATAGCTGAATTGATATACATCATACATTTGTATAATAATGAAACCCGACCATCAAATACCAAATGTCTTTAGAAATATTGTTTTGCTCTCATCAGAATAAGTATTATAACTTTTATAGAAGTATTTAAATGATAAAATACACTTTGTTTGTTCATACAACATGACTTAACAGACCTTGGTCATAAAATATATACACAATGATAAGAATATCCACAACTGGGAAAACCAACCTTTGTCCAGTCCCGTTGGTGGTCTTAATGGAAATTTTTTTTTACTGAACATTCATGTCGATTATTTTATTCATTATTATTTATTTATCAAAAAATGAACCATGCCACTGCTGGGATTGATTTTTAATAATCATTTATTGTTCAATAAAACGTGCGATAAAATTAACTGCGATAAAACCACACAATATCTAAGTTGATTGATTGATTTTCTTTAGACCGGGCGGCCAAGGATAACCTACGAAAGTGCAAGCACTTATTTCCAATAGGGCCCTTACCTCAGCAGACTGTAGAGACAGCTTTGAGTTACAAGGAAATCCGGGAACCAGTCCCTAGGTCTTATTGAATAGATTCCTTGGTTCTTATACATTCCCAGTGTAAAGCATTGATACATGCGAGGATTACCTGGGTTTCGTACCAGTAAACCTCTAGTTAGGTGGGAAACACTGAAAGTGTTTTTGAAAAAATCCTAAGGGTGTTACCCAGGATCGAACCCGGAACCTCAGGAGTGGCAGTCAGTGGTCTAACCAACTGAGCTATCGCGCCACCACTAAGTTGAATAGTAAACTTGCATGTATTAGCCTTTGAACAGTGTAAAACCTATTGGCATTGAAAATTTATCAAAACAAAGACTGGCTTGATTTTTCAAAACAAATTATTCCTAATAATAAATGTAATAATATTTCTGGCATTAATTCAATTTAGTATTTAATACGCTTATGGTCCAAAATAGCAGCTAGTTCCCCATTTGTAGTCACATGTCCAATTTGTCATTGTGTAAACCCTTTTGGAAGAGCCAAATTCACACAAACTTAATAGAAAAAAAGACGATTCAGACTGAGTACACACGGTGTAAATTTTCAACTTGTTTTGCATTAATTTATAACATTAAGTATTCAACAACGACTGTCAAGCTAGAAATTATCTACACAATGGATCAATAGCATCATACAAATTATTTGCAAACTTTTGCTAAATATGATACAGTATATATGCAAATATAAAATTTTTTCATGTAAAAGCAGTATCTAGAGTAATAACCTTTCATTACTCGTCTTCCGCAAAGCGGGGAGGGGATTATAGGAATGGCATCCGTCTTAATATAATTGGGTTATATCACCAAGGTCAAGTTCACACTTAAAGGTCAGGTGTTAAAAAGTCTATATTTTGTGTCCGCTTCATAACATTTAAAATGCTGAAATGTTTTTAAGATAACTTGGCAGAAATGTAACCATTATGACATCATGTGCAGAGTACAACAATAAAGTCACTATCATCAAGGTCAAGGTCACACTCAAAAGTTCAATGTTAAAACATCTATTTTTCATTTCCTATCTATCACTTATTGACAATTCAAAGGTTTTTAAATTACTTTGCACAAATGATACCCACTAGGACACAATCTGCAGAGCATAAAATCCAGAATGCTTCCCCAAGGTCAAAGTTAAATGTTCTTATAACTTTTTGAATTTATGGAAGATTTAAGATAACTTGGTAAAAATAATTACTATCATGAGACTTTGTGCTTATAAGAAAAATGGCATAACATCAAGGTCATAGTTGGTTAAAGGTCAAAAGGTACACATCAATGTCCGCTGCGGAAGGGGATTAGTCTGTCTTTCAGACTGCCTTGTTTATATTGATATAACAATGAATAAAAAGATACACGTACGTTCTCCGTTACATTGAGGTTATTTTCGGACTTTCTTAATAAATTCATTTTTATGTGCTTATCTTAATTATTTTCCCAATACTTACAATAAACCTTAAGCAATAACAAGGTACAAACTCTTAAGAAGTCGTTTAATGACTTCCTTCTATAAATACGATGACATCAACAAAACAACACTGGGGAATTTTCTTATTGTGCGTAATCAACACAAAAAAAGTTCAGTAGCGGTAGTGGTAGATTAGTTAGACCCGTGATTTTACTTCAACGAAAATAGGGCACTGTATAAAAATCAGTAACCACCGCATGGTGAACTCATGTTTTTTTCCTCGGTCTTGTTAGAAACAAACTTATATTGATGTGGGCAGTATTTATCAGCTATATAACGCTTATTTGTCGTTTTGATGCAAAGCAATTAATCTCTCGAGCATTCTGTCTTCGTAGTCCAAATCTTCAAACCGTTGGTAAATAGTCGACAAACATTGCTCACACCGATATTATTTCTTCAACAGAATTTAATGCATATTGTCTTACCACCAAATAATTTCCAGTTGACCGGGCTCTTCCTCCTCCAGGCCCTCTAATATGAACATAAAATTAACTTTACCATCAGTTCTTCTGATATTAGACAATGTAACGTTACTCTTACCGACAACTGGACGAAGCTCTTCACGTGTAGAATCAACTGTCAAATATATGTAATGCATTTTATGCTTTTGAGTGAAATACTGATTTATCTGTGAAAATTAAATTTGATAATTTCACAATGAAAATTTCACACTTTTCAATGACGAGACTACTTTTAAAGAATTTCCCCATGTGGTAGGTACATCAACTATATTTTAGCTACAATTCCGGCATTGTCAGGGCTGTTAAGAGAATAACAAAGCTGAAAATTATAAATAAATTAAATTTCTAACGTATTAAAAATTAAAACACAATTTCATAATCACCAAATATCGATTGCTGTATACTTGCCAACTTTTTGTAAGATGACCTAGATGCTAATCGTCATCATTTATTCGTCAAGGCTATGAACACGACTATGACTACACCAAAGACTACGAAGTTAACAATTTCGGCATCGACCACGACAACCTCGACCATAACCACGTCATTCATGACTTCAAAGTTTATGATAATAATGTACAGCAACGACAACGATGGTGAACGACTACCACTACGGCAACTTCTGCGACTTCGACTTTTACGACTACGCCAGAGACTATGACTATTTAAACTATATTTTTTCTTTTATTTATACTACAAGTAGGGCTACGACCACGAAGATAGCTGCGACTTCAATCATGAATAGGTCTTTTACGGCTAATTACTGGGAGAAAGCTACGACGACCATCAATCTACGACTTCTACGAAAACGATTACAGCTAAGACTGCCACAACGACCAAAACGATGACTTCAAAAACCTCGCCTGCAACTCGAAACTTCACCTGCAAGTCAAAAACTTCGCCTGCAAGTACAGTCATGACTCTGACCACATCGACGCTTTCTACGAGGATAAGGACCTCGACCACGAGTACAGCCGTCAACTGTTAACTTATGAACAAAGAAAGAACTAGGCCTTGTGTTTTAACGAACTTTTAATTAATTACTAGAAGGGGTTTTTGTCACAAAAGCATATGTCTCCTACAACAAGGTAATGTACTGATCACTCCTGTGAATGCGGACCAAGATTTTTCAATTTATAACTCCGACCAAGTACAATTCAAATCATACCGTGCTTTGACAGAAAATTCAAATGTCAAATAATGCTTGCCGACAATTAAGGTAACGACTTCGATCACAACTACAACTACAAGTCGTTATGTACGACGACGCCCTGAAGCACGAGCATTCTAGACTTCTACGATTACTTGTAAGCTTTAACTTACGTTCGACTATAAGAACTACGACTTAGATGTTTCAATTACAGTTCCAAATAAGACTTTTACGACTACGACTATATGATAGCGAACACAATTACAACGTTATCTACCATGACTACAACTTTTAGGTTTACAAATAAAGTTACAACTTTGACTAGGATTCCCTACATTACATTTTCTACGGCTTCAAATACGATGACAACTTCGTGATTATGACCGTAGCTACAGCAACTTCAACCATGACTGCGAATTTCACGATAACAAGTACGACTATGACTTCTACTTATACAAATATGACAACTTCAATGACCACAACTACTTCTACAACAGTTCTACGACTAAGGACTACGACTTTGTACAACGCTGATGACAACTCCAGTTGACTACGAGAATGACTACTAGAATTGAAACTACAGCGACAACTCTGGCGAAGACGACAATAAATAAACAGTACGGCTCATTTTCTGATATTTTTTTAAACTTTCTTCTGCAGACAAAATAGTTCTTTCTTAATTGATTGTTATGTTTAAAATGACCTTTACCTCAAAGGAACTCCATGGACGCCAAAAAGCATAAAATATTTCTTACATAGATCGGCTGGGGCACATATAATAAAAATATATGCAAAAGGTTATTAAAGAAATGATCAGAAATAAACTGAAAGTTGATTTGTTTGTTCTATTATTTCTCGAATTGAGTAAAAAGCGTTGCAACGCTTTCCAATTAGGGTTATTTCTTCATTTAGAATGAATATTCTGGAAAAAGAGAGTGAGCCAATTATCTTAAATTTTTGCACATAAGTTATTGGTCATCAAATGAAACATTTATCTCGCAAATATTTTTCTAGTCCCTTCAAATCAAGTCTGATCTACTTACCAGAAAAATACAATGAGTCATATATGAAACAAAAACTGTAGGATAATGATAATAATGATTTTAATTTTATCCCTAGGATTGAGCTATGTATATAACAGAATGAGGATGTTTTCCGTACGATTAGCTCAATAGGTAGAGCGTTGGACTGTGAATTAGGCGACCCGGGTTCTATTCCCGGACGGCGCAGGTCACTTTCGTTCTGATTGATCATGAAATCCTTTCTACGGTCATTCGTATCGTACATCTGCTCTTCCATGTACAGAAGTAATAAATTCCTTGCGAATGTGAAGGCAACTAGTATGATAAACTGCTTGACAGCCTGCCCAGGAATAATGCAGTGGCTAAACTATGCTCTGGTGAATTGAATGTGGCTTACGGCCGTGATCTTGAGTGAAAACTACCTTACAATCAACCTCTAACAAACGTATACAGCTTACGTAAACTATATATATCGTAACCATAGTGCATGAAATAGAGTGAATATATATAAATTGTTTGAAGAGAAAGTGATATGTTTACGGTACTTACATCCTAAACAACCATCAGATTGACTTTGTTTTATGAAGCCAGGTTCACATGTACACTCGTTGCCACTAGTGCAATTTCCAGGGTAACATGGCCGTCTATAAGAACATGTCACTGAAATATATTTATGATATTAATTTGCATATCGTACACAAAGAATGTAACTAGATAATACTAAAATGATCAAATACACTATAAAATAATGTTTCTTTTTCTATATGATGCGCGTTATTTTTTATAGCTTTACATTTGATGTACAATTCATATTTTCCATTGAGTTTATTTTATATTTCAGATTTATTTTGTATTATCAAATCGTATATCTTTAATAGTTTTCTTTCCATTAAAATAATCTGAATTAAATTTGATGTTATAAACCTACATAAAAATAAGTGAAATGTTTCATTTACAATTATCCAGAGTTCAATAAATTTTACAGACTTTTACATTATGTCGATATCTTGAATGTGAAATATGTTATTTAAGTAATATGTATGTTCAGTCAACATTTTATATTCTTTAAAACGATATATATAATCTGTTTATTATTTTACATGAAGCGCATCCTACTCCTCGAGACCATGTAGGACACTGGCAGACATTTGGACTTGCGCAAGCTCCGCCATTCTGACACGTCGGACGACATACAGCTTTAAATAGAACAACAATAGCTTAACATATAATTATTATATAATATTCTGCTCCCCATTTGCCTTTCAAACAAATACACTTCAAAAACCATAATAATATTTTGTTCATTAAAAACATTTATCATCCATTTACATACCTTTTCTTGGTATATGTTTGCTTTTAAACAAATTGTCTTGAGCAAAGATACTATTTAGTTATAAAAGAACATTGTATGAATAAAGCATATACGTATGTTACAGTTTCGATCCCCATTGTGTGTCCATCCAGGTCTACAAATATTTACATAATAGTATTTAGTTCTCCAGTAACGCCTCCAGTATGAACATCCCCTATAATAAACAAGAGGGCCATGATGGCCCTAAAGACGCTCACCTGTATATAGGCTCCCGGGGCAGGTCAATCTTAACCCAGAAGCTTTTATTTGAACAAACTTGGTAGACACCCATTTAAAGATGTTTCATGATAAATATCTAAGCTCTAGCTCTAAGAAGATTGTTTAAGATTTTACTATACAGTCATATAAGGAAAATCAATAAACACCGTGGCAGGGCCCTTTTTTGGACAAAAATGGTAGACATCCATTAGAAAATCTTTTATGCTAAATATCTTAGCTCTAGCTCTTTGGGTTTTTTAAAAAAAAATATTTTTTAAGTTTTTACTATATACACAAGAGGGTCATGATGGCCCTGAAGTAGCTCACCTGTTTATAAGCCCCCAAAGCGGGGCCAGTTTAAACACCAAGGCTTTTATTTGAAGAAACTTAAAAGACACCCATTAGAAGATGATTCATGCTAAATATCTAAGCTCTAGGCCTTTGAGTTTTTTAAAAGAAGATGATCAGTTTTTACTTTACACATATAATGAAAAACAATTTTGACCCCAGGGCTTTTATTTGAACAAACTTGGTAGACACTGAGTCACTAGAAGATGTTTCGTACTCAAGTTTTTTGGGTTTTTTTTAAAAGAAGACATTTAAAGTTTTTTCTTTCGGTTGCCATGGCATCCAGAGTTCTGCATGGAAATAAATTCTTTGAATAATTTTAAAAGGTGACCACCAAAGGAAGATTCCTGTGAAGTGTGGGTGAGATTGGCTTAGTGGTTTATGAGGAGATGTCATTTAAAAGAAAAGTTTACGGAGGACGGACGGATGTCGGACTAAAAGCGATCACAAAAACTCACCCTGTCACTTTGTGAGAGGTGAGCTAAAAATAATCGCTACAGTGGTTTGTGTAACTTTATTGCTGGTCAGTCCGTGGCCAGCTTTCTTCTAACCAACAATGTATAAACATTTTGTATACCTTGACAAAATCGAAATCCTGTCAAAAAAGGTTGAAAACTTCGGACATTAACCGTCTATCACAAATGCAACGAAAGTGAACCATGGTTTCGGAATTAACATCATTAAACATGATTCAATTTAAAAATGGATTAATGGTAAAAAGGAAAAGAAACTGAGATATTATACTTGGTTCATAAATATTATAAACGATGACTTACCACCAGCTATACCAAATTGCACAGTAAATCTGTAGATCACTTCTACTTCGTCTTACTGTATAATATTGTCTGTAAATCAAATACTCACATTTCAAAGACATATCAGACAAACCTAACTAAATATATAGGCAACTATTCTTTCCCTAGACTTTCAAAAAGCATTTTGACAATAATGAGTAGGATTTTATGTAAAAAAAAACGTTAGTTAAATTCCGTTTTGGAAAATCATTTCTAAAATGGGTTTAAATACTTAACCGCTTAATATCATATGTTTCTTTTTGGGTTTTTTTTTTTGTTGTTTTTTTTTTCTTCCTTTCTTTTTTTGCATGTTCAAAAGTTAATCATCTCAAGATATCGCAACTTGCAAACGATAGAACTATATATCATATTTTAGAAGTTTCCATCGTTGTCAATATAACTGACTAATTTGTTTGTTTTTTAATCGATGTATATTGAAATCATACAAAACATTCATAACAAGAACAAAAGGTTTGTGGATAGACAAGGTAACAAATAATAGTAGTATGCATGAATTGGAGTCAAAGGTCACACATTATTATGTAAAATGTCGTGTGTAAAAGTTGGTTACAATAGGTAAGAATATGAAACATTAAAATAGAGAAAGAAAGTTTAGGATGTTAAACTATTCACTCAACTTGAACAAAAAGAGATAAAATTTAAAGAAGAATGTGATCGGACATAAAAAATGAAGGTAGATTAGACATTGCTGATATTTTTTTCAATATAATGATGAAAAATTTTATTTTCATTTTGTAATTTAGAATGTAACAACATTACAGTGAAATTTTATATACACGTGGGTATATAATTATTCTTCTAAAACAATTTCTGAACATCCAAGAATATGTTAAAGATGTACTGCAAATGTTATGCTCATTATAAATAAACGTTAAAATATATACATTCTTTTCTTATTATTCTCCCTTTCATAAAAATGTAAATTCGGTAGTAATTTTACAAAAAAAATGCATTTTGAAACTTGCCATATTGATAATCATCATTTGAGCATCAGCATTATGATATAAAATCTTAATAACTGATCTTTAATCAATGCTGGTGATGCTATCTGGGATGTTATTCCAAATTTCTTACAACTTTTCTATTCTGTACTTATACTGTATTAGATAGATATATCGATAAATACAAATTACAACAAGAGCCATATTAGCATGGCCATCCCCCGCCGAATGTGTTTGCTCATTGTAAGAATGTATATGTAGTAGAGCAGAATAATTCAATCTAAAGAGGTCTTTTGCTATTGAAAACTGATGGCTGAAGTGATTACAGATTTGAAACCTATGAGAATACCGATGGCTGAAAATAACAAAGAAAAATAACTCAAAAATAATTCAGGGTAGATTATCATTCTTTTGTGCTGCACTCCTCCTCAATATGATCTATCCACCTATGAAGTTTCAAGTTGATACCTCTAACACTTTTTGAGATAAAGTATTAAAATAACAAAGGGCAACAACTCAAAAATTATAAAGTGTAGTTATCATTCTTGTGCACAGTATTCCTCGTCAATAAGATCTATCCACCTATGAAGTTTCATATTGACATCTCAAAGACTTTTTGAGTTATGCTCCATTCAGGTGAAAAATTAAGTATGAAAAAGAAACAAAGGGCAATAAATTAAAAATTATGAAGGGTAGGGTTATCATTTTTGTGCATTGCACATCTCCTAAGTGAGATATATCCACCCATGAAGTTTCACGTTGATATCTCAAAGGCTTTTTTAGTTATGCTCTGGACAAAAATTAAGTTTGAAAAATAACAAAGGGCAATAACTCAAAAATTATGCAGGGTAGAGTTATCATTCTTGTGTGCTGCACTCCTCCTCAATATGATCTATCCACCTATTAAGTTTCAAGTTGATACCTCTAACACTTTTTGTGATAAGCTCCGGACAAAAAGTATGAAAAATAACAAAGGGCAATAACTCAAAAATTATAATAGGTAGAGTTATCATTCTTGTGCACAGCATTCCTCCTCAATAAGATCTATCCATCTATGAAGTTTCATATTGACATCTCAAAGACTTTTTGAGTTTTGCTCCATTCAGGTGAAAAATTAAGTATGAAAAATCTACTTTTACTAACAAAGGGCAATAACTCAAAAATTATGAAGGGTAGATTTATAATTCTTATGCAATGCACACCTCCTGAGTGAGATCTATCCGCCCATGAAGTTTCATGTTGATATCTCAAAGTCTTTTTGAGTTATAATTAAGTTTGAAAAATAACAAAGGGCAATTACTCAAAAAATATGCATGGTGGAGTTATCATTCTTGTGCACTGCACTCCTCCTCAATATGGTCTATTCACCTATGAAGTTTCAAGTTGATACCTTAAATACTTTTTGAGATATGATCCGGACAAAAATGTCGGACAAACGGACGGAAGGACGGAAGGACAGACGGACGGAGACTATTTCTATATCCCCGCCGCCTTTCGGCGGGGGATAAAAAGAATCACTAGATTATTAATGAATAATGCCTCATAGAGATCAAAGATGAAGCTTCAGAAAGGGTTGTTTCATTTATTTTTTTAGAAATCCGCAATGATGTTATTATTTTGCAAAAAGTAATAAGATAATTATAAATGAATCAAATGTTTAATTCAGTCAAGTTTGTACCGTAAAATGGGTTATTTCAATTGCTGCAAAATTTAACAAAATTTGGACAAAATTACCGTAAGATCATTTTTTTACTTCTTCTCCTCACTTCTTTTAGCTGTATAAGGGGATAAGGTGAAAAGTGTGCAATCAATTTGGTGTCATTTTGTCTTTCATTTGAAATAAATAGTACATGTTCGTATACATAGTCAAAACTAGATTAAACTATAATGTTTAAATCCAAAGTGTGCATCATAGATAATAACAATTATTACACATCACATTGTAATTTTTATGGACTATTTTTGTCCCAGTTACAGCAAAATTTACTTAATTATACATCTCCATTATTATGTTAAATTAACACTTTCAACTATAAAAAAAAAACGAAAAAAACTTCAGAAATGTAAATTTAAAACAACAATCTGTCTGCAAAAATAACACTTTAAAACTTTAAACTGTAACATTTACACATAAAATTATAAATTTTACATGTTTGCGATTTAAGTGTGCATATATTTATATAAAAACTGTTACACTTTAGATAAGTAAAAATTAAACAATAAAAAAACACATATATCTGTAACTTTGGATCTTGAAGATATACTATGCTCAAATTTCTTATTAGAAAATATTTATAATTGCTACATATCTTTGTAAATATAAAATAAACATGATTTAACTTCACCCAAAGTAGATATGCTTCTTTAAAATTCTACACACTATAGGTGGTTACAATACATGCAATATGAATATATAGTATTATAAGAAAGACCAATTTTACTTGACCTGTAATAGGGAACGCAGCTAACAATGCATAATTTATTCATTCTTTTATTCAAATTGAACATATTCGTCAAGAATTACATAGATTTTAATAAACTTCCTTGAAATAATTTCTGTGAAATATTTTACGCAAGGATGAGCATAGTATATCTTTAAAATATCTTTAAAATTTACACTTTAAACAGTAAAATGTACACATTAAACTGTAAGTTCTACATTTTGTACCAAATTTGAGCATACTAGTACATCAGACGGAGAAAAGGACGAATGTTCCAACATTTTGGATTTATGGACTTTTTCCTTTATCATAATACATGGCACCTCTCACATAAACAAGTGAAAAATTACCATTTTATCTGACGGATAGACGAATGGACATATATACAATGAAGATAGAAATCTTACTAGAGCCTATCAATTATCACAAGATGTCATTTGATATAACATAAATATATAAATAATGTTCGTTTTTGTAAGACTAAATAAAACTAAATAAAACGCCATTAACGAACTTAAAACCACAACAGAACTCGTAACCTTAATAAAACTCAAACACATTTGAAAAGTTTGGCAAAATAATTGCAAAACTTCTTTCCAAAAGAATGCATTCTCATTTATCTACACATTCCGAAACTGCCTTCTCTAAACTGATGTAAACTCATCATCAAAATAGTTTGCATATTAATTAAATATTTGTAAGTTGACATTTAAATGCAAGCATAATTAATGTGCGTTATAAAACATACATAACCTCTGTATATCACCGTAGGGAACGTGTTACAGTATCGCCTTTTCCGGTTACAGTATAGAATTTTCAAGATGGAGGATTATTTGTGGGGAAGACCGGTAGGTGATTTTTATTCTGGTACATACAACAAGTAGTTTGGTTTCTACCAGACGTTTTTGCGTTTTGCTTGTACGGTTTGTAGGTTTACTTTTAAAGGCAAGTTTAAACAAGAGGGCTATGGTGGCCCTGAGTCGCTCACCAGACTTTTCAGTGTTGAAAATTATCCATTGTCAATATTTTCTAATAGGAAATTTGAGCATAGAATATCTTTAAACAATAATTTGAAGAAATGTCATGACGATGGGCATTTAAGCTTTAGCTTAAACGGGGCCAATCAAATCAATATAAGAAAACTTGCTAAAAGACTACCTAAGATTAGTAAGAATGCTACAGACAAAGATTGGTGATCATCCATCAATTATTCCAGTAGGAGAATAATGTTCAAAGGTTTTTATTTTATTTTTATATTTTTAGCTTTAGCGGCCCCTTAAAGGGGCCAATCAAATTAATATGAGCAAACTTGATAAAAGACTACCTAAACATGCTACAAACAAAATTTGGTGATCATCCATCCATTAGGTCTGTAGAAGGAGACGTTTAAAGGTTTTTTTTTTGGTTTTTTTTTTTTAGCTTTAGCGGCCCCTAAAAGGTGCCAATCAAATCAATAAGAGCAAACTTGATTAACGACTACCACAAAGAATGCTACAGACAAAGTTTGGTGATCACCCATCAATTAGTTCTGTAGTAGAAGATGTTTTAATGTTGTTTTTTTTTCTATTTTTAGCTCTGTTGACCCCTAAAAGGGGCCAATTGAAATGACATGAGCAAATTTAAGTGTGACTGTCACAAGGATGCTACAGACCAAATTTGATGTAAATCTGCCCAGCAGTTTCAGAGAAGAAGACGATTGTTTACGCATGACGACGGACGCCGGAGCATCCCCTTTGATACTAATAGCTAACCCCGAACCTTCGGTTCTTGTGAGCTAATAATGTCGGAATGGGAGAAAAATGCGTTGGTCTCTCGATTAGAATTTTCAATCTGTCAAATCAGTACATTTATAAGCAAATATAGAGATAATACTGCGGTATAGGGTCTGAAGAAATATATGACTATAGATACCGGATTCAGTTTCCTACCAGCAAAGCACAAAATTAC